TGTGTGTGTGTGTGTGTGTGTGTGTGTGTGTGTGTGTGTGTGTGTGTGTGTAATTCCAGATACTTATCTTTTGTGTCAGTGAGACTGGCGAAAACACACTACAAATTTCAACCTGTGACAGATCAATGACGTATGATATCTCATCTCATCTCACCTCATTTAATCTCATCTCATCTCATCTCATCTCATCTCAGCTCTTTTTATTACATTCACTGTTCAAAGCACTCGTGAAAATAGTTTGTCTTTTTATTTTTAACACCAGACTGATCTAGTCCAATCGTGGGTCTCTTCCTGAGTAACCAGCGATATACAACATCACGTGTTCTCTTCTTTCGACGAATTTAATCAACGTATAAAAAGAAAGACTTATCTGGGTTAAAGAAAAGCTCATGCAATTAATTATAGTAGCTTTTATGTCCTAAAGAAAAAGAAAAGATAACACAGAAATGCAAAAGTTGAAGAACAGAGAAAGAGTGGGCCTACAAAGGGCACCCACCACTCACAAACTGACAATTGAGCTCTTTAGTTGCGCGTGCTAGCGTGTGTGTGTATGTGTGTGTGTGTGTGTGTGTGTGTGTGTGTGTGTGTGTGTGTGTGTCTGTTTGTTTTATGTATGCAAGTGGGAGGTGTTTTTTTTTTATTAATACCATATCGTTTGGGTGGAATTAAACAATTCTCTATTTATAGCGTAAGCCACGTGCATAGACTAAAATGTCTCGCTTCATCATCTAGTGCGTCAGAATTCCACCCCAAGATCCAAAGATCCAAAAAAATTGTCTCTTTAACTTCTAGGTCTTTTTCTTCTTTTTTCCGGTTTTTTATAATGTTGTGAGCTACTGCCGGGTAAGTCTTGTGGCCGACTGATGCAGACATAGGTGCCGCCTCTTAACCTAAACTGTGTTGAAGAAGGGCGTTAAAGGGAACCAAAAAACGAAAAACAAAACAAAAAAGATCAAGCAAACATCGTTGTTTCAGAGTCCTAGAATATGACAGACAATAGCAAATTAGTTTTTTTTTCTCTGTCCTGAATATTTGGAAATGTTCGTGTCGGACACAGCTAGGAATGAATGATCCCAACATAACGGAGGATGGACACAGTCAGACAAGTTGAGGCAGCGACGTCGAGGTCTTTGGCTCTTCACAGCGGATCCTTGAACTTCGAGCGTCCGAACCATCTCTCATGTGTTACCTTTAAGGCTTTAGAAACCGCGAAAACAATTTCCTACACTTGTTGTGGGAGGCTGACTCTCTGGCCACAACAAATCTTGGCCAAATACGGCCAGAATACCGTGGCCAAAGCCCAACAGGACACCGCTGGCTTTTCAGGCGGCACTCGCGGATGCCAGGGATTTTGACGCATTGTTGACATGTAACTTCCCGAGGCAAAAGTCACAGCAAGGATCTTCTCCCGAGTTGGGTGACCTTGCTGGGCGGATCAGAGGGAAGCCCTGGGGAATTTGTGGTCGCGGAGACCGGGCGCCTTCTTTTGGTGACCGACACTTGGTGCTGGGGGAGGTGGATGTGAGAGAGGGGGGGGAGAGAGGGAGAGAGAGGGAGAGAGGGAGGGAGGGAGAGAGAGGGAGAAAGAGACACTGGTGGATGGGAGGTGAAGGGATGAAGAAGAGAGAGAGAGAGAGAGAAAGAGAGAAAGAGAGAGAGAGAGAGAAGGAGAGAGATTGAGAGATATTGAGAGAGATTG